CTAAAGTATATGGCTTGATCATTCATTTGAACTTCAAAGACATCAAATGATATGATCTCCATAAGGAGTTCTCTAAAGACCCATAAGGTAGAAAACACAAAATCCAGCATAACTAAGCACAAGAGGTGGGTCGTAGAAACTGCAATTTAACACCTGGGTTGTGACCCTGCCACTCGAAGCTGACTCAGAGCCAGACTGTGAGAGATCATGTGGTCTGTACACATGCTATTCCGTTTCCAATCAGACAATTCTGTCAGCAGCAGTGGCTGCCACAGGTTGGGGATGGAGGAGGAGGGGATACATACCTATAACTGAGGGTCACAAAGGGAGACCTTGGTGGTGATAGAACAGTCCAGTGTCTTAACTGAGATGATGGTTACACAATTCACAAATGTGACAAGGGGACACACGGATTGTACCAATGCCAACTTCCTGGTTCATCTTGTCCTAGAGTTATGTAAGACGTAAATGCCAGGGAAAACCAGGTGAAGGGTGCACAGAACCCCTCTGTACTATCCTTACAACTCCCTGTGAATCTATCATTATTTCAAAATAAAAAGTAAAAAAACCCTCATTCAGCAAAGGCTGCAGATGTTTCTAGGATAGAAATTTATTCTGATCACCCAATCCAACTGAGACACCAGAAAGCACACGAGCACACAGGCAGCCCGGCATCCACACTCCAGAGCTCAGGCTAGCACTTTCCTAATCCTGCCTCCAGCGCCCACGAGGAAGTCAAGTCATTCCCCAGGCTGCCCAGGCACTCAGGCCCAGACTCACAAAGCGCCTCACCAGTTCACCTGACTGAAGACAAGGCAGTGAAGTTTTGAAATGCAAGCAAGCGTTGTCCACAAAACAGGAACAACAGTCGAATCATTTTCCCCACAAACAACTATCTATAGTATGCACCAGTGTTTTTGACAAAAGTTCAAAGAAAAAACTGATAAAGATAATGAAATCAACTAAATGTGGGGCTTTTTTTTAATGCCAAAAAATCACTGACATTGGCAGTAACGTTTAACACAGGGGAAAGAAGGATGACTCGGGGGATGGAGGGACCTGGACTTAAATCCCAGTTGAGAGACTTTGGAGCTTTGGAACGTTTCCCTCTGTGCCTCGGTTTCTTCATTGCTACAGAGGGGACGCCAACGCCTATTTCAAAGGATTGCTGTGAGGACACAATGAGGTCGTATCGCAAGTGTCTAGCACAGCATTTAAGGCATGCAGATGCTTAATAACGTTGTACTTCAAATGATGACAGTCAGGGACTGTAGAAATTACAGTCAGGAGGCGTGGCTTAGTGTAAGAGAGATGATGTTGCCCGAGCTAGAAATGTGGCCAATGCCAAGGTTCTGTAAATCTCGATGCCGAAGACAGATACATGTCAGCACCGCCTCTACAGCACCCATGGAGGTTTCACTTCTAACTGTTCGATACTACCACATTCTGAGGCTTGTAAGGTCATATTTTCTTGGGCTCTGCAACACCAAATAAAAGTTCAGACCAATGTGGCCATGGGGGTCAAGGGAGAAAGACCAAGCAACATTTCCTCCAATTGAGAAAAGGCGCCAAAGAGATTGTATTTTCAAACAAATATGATCAAAGGCCTCTCGCCTCTTGCCCCTGGCTAGAAGGGCTGTTGTAACTAACAAGGTAGGGTTTCTTAGCAACGACTGGTCTATTCAAGGAATGTACAGGTATATTGCAATAAAAGCAAACAATATATGAACATCCACATGTATGTCAAAGACAAATTTATAGAAATTTATTTAGGCTGGGTACAGCACTTTGGAAGGCCGAGGCAAGAAGATTGCTTGAGCCCAGGAGTTTGAAACCAGCCTAGGCAATGTAGTGAAACCTTGTTTCTACAAAAAAAAAAAAAAAAAATCAAATAAATTAGCCAGGTATAGTGATGGGCACCTGTAGTCCCAGCCTCCTGGGAGGCTGAGCCCAGGAGACAGAGCCTGTGGTGAGCCATGATTGTGCCACAATATTCCAGCCTGGGTGACAGAGTAAGACATCAATTCAAACACGGAAAGAAAAAAAAAAGAAAATTTTTTATTTGTTGTCTTAAATGTGATTAAATTTAAATAGAGTCTCCTATTTTCCACACATGTGGGCACACATCGAATGCAACACTCTGCACAGACCTGACCTCCGCGTGGTACGAGGACCTGCGGCAGCGGCGGCACCTGGGAGCACCTCAGAAACGCAGACTCTCAGGCCCCAGCCCAGGCTGCGGGAACCGGAGGCTGCGGTTCAACAAGCCCCACAGACCTGTGCACACACTGAGCTCGGAGGAGCCCTGTCCCTGGCCATGCTCGTGACACTGACACCAGAAGCCCCCATAGCACAGCAGCATGCCAGGCTCACCAACACCAGAACAATCGCCCGGATCAGCCGGGGAAGGGATCAGACATCTTTTAAAAATTTTCTCCTTCCTTTGGTGACGATACCTGATCCTAACCCAAGATTTGACTTTAATCGGACTGGGGCAGGACCCTGGCGCTCGCATTTGTTTAGAGCTTCCAGACAACTGAGGCTGAGAACCAAGAGCAGCACCGGGGAGAAAACCGCCTCACCCAGTCACAATTTAAACTCATCACTGGAAGAAAACATTCAACTAGAAAGAGAGATGAAGACATGACTAGACAGAAACCTTGTACAAAGCACAGTATTGTATCAAAGCTGAGCACCTCTATCCTGGCTGAACCCAACAGATTTCCCTGGACTAGCATGAGAGAAGTTCTTCAGATGAAGGCAGTGTCTCACTTTACCGCGATTATGAATGACTTCACCACCAAAAAGCCAAGTAACAGGGGAACACCGAATAGTGCCGAAAACTTCATGGCCCCTGACACCAATGCATTCTCCAGCAGAAGTCCACCAGGGGATTAGAACTCCCACCTCACCGGGCACGGTGGCTCACGTCTGTCATCCCAGCACTTTGGGAAGCACAGGCGAGAGGACTGCCTGAGTCCAGGTATTGAGACCAGCCTGGGCTACTTGGTGAGACCTCGTCTCTCCAATAAATCAAAAAAATTTGCTGGGTGTGGTGGCGTGCGCCTGTAGTTCCAGCTACTTGGATGGCTGAGGCAGAAGGATTGCCGGAGTCCAGCAAGTTGAGGCTTCGGTGGCTGTGAGCATGCCACTACTTTTCAGCCTGGGCCACAGAGTGAAACTCCAACTCAGAAAAAACAAGAAGCCTCCCACCTCCCACAATTAAAGGCTTCCTGTGCTGACCACACACATTCTCTGAAAGTTTTACGAAAGTCCACAACAGTGTTTCCTTCCCCAATCTGTTCAACTGTAAAAGCCCAAAGATACTGCTGGGAAGGCAAGGGTGGATGGCAAGGGCCGGGAGTGGTGGGGGGGTGGGGGGAGTCAGACTGCCTGAGCATGCAGGAGGTGGAAGAGCCAGTGCAGTGGCACCTGAGGCCTGGAGGGCAGAGAGGTGGGCTTGTCCCAGTACAGAGAGGGATGTGAGACTGATACAGAGGGCGCGACGGGACTGCTGGACAGAGTGGAGGAGGAGACAGAGTGAGAAGGGGAGGGCATGGGAAGCCACTTCTTCTTGAGGATACTGAATTACTAAGGAGGTCAGGGAGAGGTGTTAGGGAAGACAGCTGAGACAGCCAGATGCAAGAGCCTTGTGAACAAGGGAGCGGCCTAATCCAGGTCCCACAGAGATAACTGAGGGCAGAGGGATGACCAGAGCTTGGCTGTCTGGCAACCAAAACTCTGCAACAGCTTCTCGAGAACGAGCATCCAGCAGGCCTGATGTCAGGGCCCCTCCTCCCTAGCAACCATGACTCAGCACTGGCAGCACAGGAAAGCCAGGCCTGCTTTCCTGCTTTCTGGGCGGGACCTGCCCTGCCCACTCTCCGCCACCCTCGCCCTGCTGAAGGTGTGGGGCAGAAAAGGGCTAACAGACCCAGGAATCTAGTCCTAACCTGCAAAGGGGATCACCAAACAAAACTCCTAATCATCGACAACTCTGGAGTCTAAAAAGAATATTAGAAAACACATCTCTATCATCTTGGGAAAAAAGGTCTCTGTCAGTTTGGAAAAATGCCAGGAAGACATAAAACAAGTCTTTTTGTTCTATCATCGCCAAGGGCCTTGGCTAGGAACCAATAAAAGAACGTACGTACAACATACTAGATCAGCTGAGTAATGGTTGTAGCAACCATATATCCTAGATTTTCTTAGACAATATCAATGTTAAACATTTTATCCCATTATCTCCGAAATTCATATTTTAAAATCCTAATATTTTGACATCCAAAGTGCATCCAGGGCTGTCTCTTACACTTAAAAATGGCACTGAAATTTGGTGCAATATTATACAGTTCAACTTTATTAATAATTAGGATTGGGATTATGGATTATGAGTTCATCCCACTGAGAGTGCAGTTTAGCCATCCCAATCTTACCTTCTAGCTTTGAAATAAATAATATTATACAATGGAGAAAACACCCCACCTAAATCCCTTCCAGGCAATGCGGATCTAGCTATGTCTCAAAATGTTTAAAGTGGAACAGACTGGAACTAGCATATGCCGAGGACATTCTTCGTCTCCAATCCACATTCCAAATAGAGTAACACAATCAAAGCAAAATGGACAAAATCTCTGCCTGTAACCGCCCTCTCCCTTGGTAACAGGAGAGGTCCTTTCCGTTTTGACCATCAGTAATAGGTCTTCCCTGAGTTTCATCTAGTCCTCACACAAGAAAAAAAAAACAAAAAACAGATAACACATATCCTTTTCAAGATTCCTTACAAAACATTATCTACCAACTATTACTATTAAAAGAATCACACTTAGCCTTTGTGTGAAGCCTCCAAAAGTGTGTGTGTGAGTGTGTGTGTGTGTGTGTGTGTGTGTGTGTGTTTTGTAACTTTGAAAAGTACTAGTCATGGATATAAATAGTCCTATACACACTTGAAAACCAAACACTATTAAAATGGAGCATAGCAACTCTGTGTAACTTGATACCTCAGAAGCCTTCTTGCTCTGTCTTTTCCCAAAAATGCAGTCAAGATCTTTTTTGCTCCGACATGACAGATCCTTTCCTAGAAAAACAACAGGATGCTTTTCAGTAAGACTATTCTTTCTAAAATAAAGAGTACAAATAAATACAAATTATGCAATTCCTGAAAGAAAAATGATTTTTGGAAAACAAACACTTTTATAACTACTGACTTTCTGCCCCCCCTTGCAGATTATAACTCTTTCATTAATAAATAAAATTAGTTAAATTTAAAAACCAAGGAAATGTCTTTGCTTTAGAGATGGAGTCTCACTCTGCCACCCAGGCTGGAGTGAGGTGGCTTGATCATAGCTCACTGCAGCCTTGAACTCCTGGGTTCAGACGATCCTCTCGCCCAGCCTCCCAAGTACCCGGGACCACACCTGACTGCGTTTTTTGTCTCACTATGTTGCCCAGGTTGGTCTCAAACTCCTGACTTCATGTGACCCTCCCACCTCAGCCTCCTGAAGTGCTGGATTTACAGGCATGAGTCACCCTACCCAGGCCTCAAGTAAAGTCTTAAAACCAGAGCCCTTGACATTCTCTTCTTAATGTAGAAACAACCTAGAGGATATAGACTGCAAGGAAATCTAAACTCTAAAGCTAACCCTACTACTGGCATGCCTTCAGGGTGCAATTTCTGGGTCTCTGGCTTCCCAGTTCATAAAACAGATCTCATTCACTTCAAAGAGACACGAGTTACACAGAACATTATCAAACACAGAATAAAAAAGACTGCTAGACACATGGCTTCAAACCCCACATGTGCACACAAACGAGAACACACCATATTGACATATACGAGCCCAATAATTCAATAAATAAAAATTGAGGAAAAAAAGAGAAAAAATGCAAATAAAATTACTATATAAAGGTGAAAAGGCTTCAGATTTTTGTTCTCAAAGCGTTCTTTACTGTTAGAGCTATATCATCTTTAGATAATATAACAATAATATAACAAAAGCAGGAAATTAAATGGCTCTGCTAAAGAGTATCTAAAGGATCGACAATGCTCGTTTTTATTTTAAAAAACTAAACTCTTTAACTTAAAATAAAATTCACTTCTTTGGAATTTCTGCTTCTACCCAATAATCCTCCGTGAGCAGTCAGCTAAATCGATTCCCATTTGTCAACTCATGGCAAGTGCATTCTAAAATGTTACTACTCCATCTAAAACCTGGAGGCTCTAGGGGAGGGAGGTTCTGGGTGAGGCCCAGGAATGTGTGTTTCGAGCTAGAAGCCGGAGTTGCACACTCACAGACTCACCTATCTTCTTGTAGCAAAACTGACTTGGCAAAGTAATGTCCTGACCCAGAAGGTTCCAGTTCACTGACTATCACTGGGGCATTTAAATATGGTATTGCTCAGTGACTCTGTGTAATTAAAAAACAAAACACCCTTCGATTTAATGCAAAACCAGGTGCCAAAACCAGTTTCCTAGGCAGCAGCACCAGATGAAGTTGTGCAGTCGGTATGGCTGTTCATGGCAGCAGGGAGGGCTCTCGGTGGCTTGTCTGCAGCTCTCTCCGACCTGGGCTGGACACTGAGCCCTCCTGCTTCTAATTGGTCATCAAACAGAACCTACATGAAAAGGCCCCAAAGAAAGCCTGCTTAAGAACGAAGCATATCACAGAAGGGAGCTCAGAACACAAACCAGAAAAGTGGGGAAGCAAACTGGCGGCAGCGGGAAGAGGTCTCCCTGGAGATGACCCACAGCTTCGCCATCAGAGTACCCCATTTCCACCACAAAGCTCATCCAGGGTGCCTGCGCCTATTTCAGAGGAGGGAGCTGTACTAAATTCCAAATGTGTATCAGTCGCCTACCCCTAACCTATCCTCTGGAACGGAAGAGATCCCTGGAAGGAAATGCAAATGAAGCTGTCTTTCAACAAAAAGGAATGCTGGAGGGATTAAGGAAGGGAGGGTGCAGGTGAGATCACAGTTTAAAATAGGATGTCAAAACACAAACACACAGAAATTAAAAACAGATCTAGAAATCAAAGGGAAACTGCCAGGCAGGCAGAGACAGCAAGCTATACCAAAGAAGGCACAAATGACTCTAAGGTTTTGGTGATGTGTTCTGCATCAGAAATTTGTATCCTTTAGCAAAGTTCACTTAAGTAAGTGTAAAAGCCAGGATTGTTACAGGCCCTTGCTCTGGATGTGATCTGGAAAACAAGAACACAGAGAAGAAATAAGAGTCAGAGGCCAACAGAAAGGAACGTAAACGGGGATAAAAATGTGAAGATGAAGTGGGTTCGAGACAGGACTTAATGGTCCTGAGTGGACAGTTTGAGAAATTAGAAAAGTATGGCCATTTTTAAATGAAATATTTAAAATGATTTCATTTTTGTTGTATTAAAAGTGAGTTTTAAAAGCCTATTAATCTGAGTTCTGAATTACGGTCAAATCATAGCAAATACTGTTGATAAACCTAGAACTCAAAGAAAATAAAAAATAAGTAGAACAAGAGGCGTATGCTCTCTCTCTGGAGTCAGCTTATCTGTTAGTCTTCATCAGGTCATAGCATTTCGAGAACTAGGAAGAAAAGCTTCCAGTAGCCAAACAGATGTGACAGAGCCCATGTGAGGGTGAGCACACACACAGAAGAGCACTGTATTTAGGATCATGTTAGCTGTTTGTCTAACAATCACGAACACCAGGCTTTCCATCTTTCAGAGTAGCCAACCAGAAGGAAAGAATGTCACTGCTACCATTAGACACGTTTACAACACCAAGAAGCCCACACAGGAAGCAACTGAAACTATAAAAAATAGACACAAGAACAGAAGAATCCCTATGATCTGGAACTATCTAACTTAAAGCCAAAAGCAATAACCCAGCAAACTCGACAGAGCAAGCTATATTGTAGAACTCTAGTATAACTGGGGCTCAGAAACATCTATGAAAAGCAGCATTTACTCAGAGGAAAGGAGCCAGGGATAGGGAAACGTGGGCTTTAGAAAAATGTTTGCTAAAATCAAAAAAAACCAAAAACACTTAAGGCTTATGTAAGTAACTTTGATCGTTTAGAAAATTCAATTGCATTATTTAATCAAGAGGATAACCAAAACAATATTATATTTCAACTTTCTTTTTCATGTAAACACAGAGGACCGGTAGTCAGTCTAGGGTAGAAGGCAAGGCAGCTCTACTAAAAAGTGACATCAGCAAACCAGGACATCAAAAAGAATCAGTGTGGGGTGAAATAAGTGAGACCCTGATAATCAATAATAGGACAGTCTGAATTTTTTGAAAGCCAGCATTGGTACTAATTAGCATTTAAACATCACGAGAACCAGACACTCCAGGATCCTCTCTGCTGCAGCGCACCTGTGGGAGAGTCACCGAGGCCCTGAACGCCGCCTCTGCGCTTTGCCGCCTCTGCGCTTCGCCACCAGGAAGCCACCTCCTTCACCCCAAACATGTGCTGGGCACGCAGCTTCCTTGTTTAGGAAGCATACAAAATGCCAAGACCCTCACATGAATAAGACATCTGGCAAAACCCCCATCATGAAATCACACAACTACATAGTTTATACAGCTCTCAACCACCTGTCATACAACACAATGCTCTCTTGACAACAACTCAATGTAGAGACAGAAAACCTCAGAAATGGTTTTGTATAAATCGAAATATCCTCTCTGTAGAGAGAGCCTCACCAAATGTTTTTCAAGTTAAAAGAAACCACATGGGAGTTAGGCTTCTAAACATATATGGATAAAAGTTACTGTTTAAATTATATGACAAATTATTTCAAATTAAAACGATAAATGTGGGGTTAGAGAAAGGAATAATTATGCATCAGAGTTAAAGTGACCCAGCCGATGTTTAGGCAGCAGCAGATTTCACAACACTATCTACCACTGTGATCCTACTAAAGCAAAATGTTTCGCCTCACTCTTCACCAAGCTCTGTAAAATGTCACCTTTCTAGGTTCTGGTTTCCTGGGCCAAAGAGGAGTTACAAAACCATCCTCATCAATAAGTGCATCATTACTGTCATTATGAGTGTGCTCACTGGCTGAAGTCTATTATGCTGAAAAAACAAAAGTTCATGAAATGGGTCACTTCTGATAAATCATGAAATAAAACCTGTTTAAGCACTTAATAGTGACCTCCAAATGTTTCCTCATTTTACAAAGGAGAAGATGGAATCTGAAAAAAGAAAAAAGAGGGAACTTGAAAAGAAGCTTGAGCTGTGGATGGAAGCTGGATGGCGTATCATTCTTCCCACTAGCTGGGTTTCTGCTTCCCTCTCTCCTCTGTCTACTTAGGCCCAGACTGCATGCACTCCGTGTCTCCACTCAGGCGCCGCTCTGCCCTTCTAACAACACATCTCGAAGTCTTTCCGCTCTGCATACTGACTCCCTTTCTCCCCAGGCAAGGCTAGTACCAGACAAGCTTTAAGAGGGAAATGGAACACCATACGGTCTGGCAGGGTCACCTGGCAGGGGAGTGGCTTAACTAGAAATAGAAAGCAGATACTCCCGGCACCCATTAGATTAAAGTAGATTAAGGAGGTTTATCCCAGCTTCAGCGAACGCTTCGGATGAAATCATGCATGCAAGCAGGTCCTAGCGGACAATCAGAAGCCTCTACTTGCAAAAGCAAAAGCTCACAAGGCTGCCAGCCCATCCCAAAGTTCCTGGCCACTTTCAGTCTCATTAATTTGCTCTGCAACAGCTCCCTTCTGGGGGATATCTTTTTTTTCCCTGCAGGGTCTAATGAATAAAGAAGGGATATTTAAGGAACTAGGTAAGGAGCAAGCATTCTGACCGCTCCTCAGATGGACTGAGGGGCCAACAGAGCCTGTTGTCTGCTCTGCAGCACGTTGGAGTGGAGAGGAACCCTAGTCAGAGACCTTAGAGACGAACAACCAAGAAGGCTCCTGCCTGTGAGAAAGAAGGGGATGCCATGGAAGAGCCACACAAAACACAGCTGCTGCAGAAGGAAGGGAAGGGTCCGTCCCTCCCTGCACACAATCCCAAAGTTTCTTAGCTCTGCTACGGCCTCTCAAGCCAAGCCTGGCCCTACCTTTTGGGGTCCTGGCCCCAGATGAGAAACACTATCAGTTGTTTAGAGTAGTAGGAATTCCAACTCTCGCTGCAATGCAGAAGCTTCTAGGAGTTAAAAAAACTCCCCAGTCATGCCGACACAGCTAAGAGATATGCTTTTCCTGGCGTGTGGAGGCAAAAACGCACGTCCAAACTCCCAGAGAACCATCAAATGGTGACCAGCATCGCATCACCATCATCCGCATGATGCTGTAAGTGTCGTATGTAGTAGTTACGCGTTTGTGGCTGGGAAGCACGCTTCATTCATGAAGCCGTTCCACAGGAAAACATCTGGGGAGCTACCGGCCCACGTTAAATCGCTTCTTGCCAGCACCAGACCACCACCTGGTGGTTCGAGAACACAGCTGCACCCTCAGATGACCAGGCACCCGGGAGGCCTCGGGAGGCGGTGACGGAGGAAGACGAGCTTGACCACTCGGTCTCTTCCAACCCTGTCTTAGCAGTGACCGTGGGAAGCTCCTGTTAATGCCCCACGAAACGGAGAAGCTGTGTGGAATAACGCGGGGTCAATTTGGAGTGGGGCTTTTCATACTGGTGATCTCAATTTAGCCCATAATCCTCGAAGCTGGCACACTAGAAGCTGTATTCGACATCAACATTCAGCTCAGAAAAAATGGAAAATGTAGCTAAAAATGTTGAGTAATAAATTGAAAATATTTTCTGACCTAGTCACATAAACCCCTTTCCCCCCCTCAATTGTGATCTGACATCCATTTTCAGCTCTGTCACGGGATAATCTGAAGCCTGACCTGGGCCCCACCTCAAAACTACTGAATCTGAATCTGCATTTTAACAGGGTCAGGTGATCTGCAATGAAATGTAGAGACTTCAGATCAACCCAGTCAGGCTGTTTCTGAAACCAGAAGTCACTGATGACTGAGACTAAACATTTCTCAAGAAATTCAGCATGAACACACAGACTGTAATAACAAATAAATGCTTAATCTTACCTTTTGTGAATTTCATATAATGAACACGATTTTTGGAGACTTTGGATTTTTCCTCAAGGCTAAAAGATTTCTTTTTCTTGTCATCTGAGAAGTCTTTAAAAAAAGATGAAAACCACTACATTAAACTCTAAATAATCCATTCTTATTTATTCTTCCACAGCATATGGTCTTATGTAAATACAATGTCTAGGAGCACCACAATTTATGATTAAACTCTAATCAAGTGATTAGAAATATTTTTCTTAAACTGTAGTACTATGGATCAGCCAGGTTATCCTCCAGAAATTTACGAAAACCCTTGAAGAGAAATAAAAACTTGTTTCCACATAAAAACCTACACACAAATGTTCACATTAGCCTAATTCACAACAGTAAAATACTGAATGTAACTCCCAAGTCCTTCAATGTGTGAAAGAATGGCTGAGCACACTCTGGATGGACATCCTTACACAGTAATCCTCATACTTGAAAGACACACGCACAACCAGTGTGGAACCCTGCTTAGTGAAAAGCGTCGACCTCAGGCTACACACTACGTGGCTCCACTGATACCAGTCTCAAAATGACAACTACAGAGATGGAGAACAGGGGATGGCTTCCAGGGGCCGGGGATGAAGGTGGCGTGTCAAGGGCTGGCGGGGGAGGGCAGGTTGAGATCCCAAGATGCAGCATGAGGCAGCTCTGTGGTGCTGATGGAGCAGTTCTGTGTCTTGATTCTGGCGGTGGCTTCATGAACTGATACTTGTGACAGTACTGCACAGAACCATGCACAAGCACGAACAAATGAAGGCTACAAATGGTGACAACGGATTAAGAGGTCTGTGATCCAGTTTGTAGAAATGCCAAAGGTCAGTTTCCTGGCTTTGATATGCAATAGCACTATAAGATGCTGCCCCTGGGGGAGCCAGGAAAGGGGCATTCAGGACCCCGGTAGTATTTCTGCAACTTCCTATAAATCTATAATTATTTCCAGATGAAAAGTTCTGTTAAAAAGCAAATAGCAGTAAGGCTGGTGAAATGACCACCCAAAAACAGATCAGGGCTGATGACTGGGTGATGCGCGAAGGAGCAGCATTGGCTCTGAGCCACCACCTCACATGCTATGCTCCCTAGAGCACCACCTGCCAGGCAAAAGCACAAGAACACACCACTGAGGAGGACATTCGTATGATTCATTCTTTGACAACAGAAAAGCCTCAGCCCGAAAGTAGTCTCTGGCCTTAAATAAAAGAGCAATTCAACCTAGGGTTAGAGTCAGTTACGGGGTATTAACTAGCTGCTTTGTTCTTTCATTTTCATCTGTGTATCTATTCGTCGAGTTCAGACAGAAGAGTGCCACAGAAACAGAACATCACAGGAAGAAAAGAGTGAATTTTCCTGTAGTTTTAAGAAAATTTAGATACGAGGTTAGAGAAAGGAGAAAAAGGAAACTTTTGCTTTAATACTGGAGCAAAACAAGCACATGTCCACTGAGCACCCTGCCAGCTGCTATAATCCCTTCCAGGAGTTAGTTACTAACGTCAAAGGCCAAGTGCGATGGCTATAGTAGGCTTGGAATGACATAACACAGGTGTTTTAAACCTGCAGGTGGCACCCAGCGGGGTGTGGGGTGAGCGACCTGACGAGCTGACACTCTCTTCCCAGCCACCCACCGGAACACCCGGGGAGTGTTTTCCAAGCTATGGCACTAGCAAAGCTCTCTCCACTTTTTGGGTCAGGCACGGCAAACGGCACACAACATTTTCAACGCCGGTGCTCCAAGCACAAGTCACCCAGAGAGCCCTCAGCACGAAGCAGCTCCAGCCACCTGTGAGCCAAAGGCAGACGAAGAGCCAGGTGCTGAGCAGGCACCTTCGTGCATGCCCGTATTTCCTTTCTGCAGCCACTCTGTGAGGCAGCGGCTGCAACTACGGATCTTATTACAGAGGAGGATGTGGAACAAGGCTCATCCGGGGCAGCTACGATGGGACTGGAGCCCAGGAAGACGTGACCTCGAACCATCGCACTGCGTCCCTCACGCTTGAGAGGACGAAGACTCTCCTGGAAAGCTTCTCTACCTTCGGAGGATGCAAACTTCCCAAGGATGCCGAGCACGGGCAGGCCTGAGGGGACTCCATTTCCGTCTGCCTGTCCACATGAACAGTTTCCCAAAACGGCTAGATCTGAGGAGATGCACCAGTCTGTTTTTCCTTTCCCCCATGTCCTCTTCCCACTTTACAAAAGGAAGGCACAACTCTCTTCTTACTGGGGATCAGTCAGGAACAAGTCACAATTCTGGTGTCCGGGATGCGTCCTTTCATCAAAGCAGCTAAACCAGCCCCCGCCTCCACCACCAACCTACCTCGCAAGAGATGCACTGCCAAAGAGAGAGGGATTTCATTGAGTAAGCACTTATCAACATTTATATCTGTTGGTTTTACCAATAGCAATGTACTAATTATAATGACAACTTAATCCAAATTTTGTACACTTTTTCACAAAAGTGTTGGGGTTACTAGCAATAAGGCAAAAATGTATATGGATTTGTTTTATAGCAGAGAAACAGGATAGGTAATATAACCGGGTCAACAATGCTTTAAAAAAGTTTAAGTATAAAAATGTTAACATAAAATACTATGATGTACATAAAATGGAAACACTATTTCAAAGTGGAAAAAACTATAAAATATAACATTTCTGACTATTAAAGAAGCACTTGTTTGTATATTTTCAAACAGATCCCACTGGATACCAAATTGCTATTGTATTTATCGTACACTGCAGACATTTAGGATCGATGTAGCAGTTTTACCTTTAAATTTCATTTACGGACCACTGCCTTGCTAGGCTCTGGGGTGGCCATGTGCTCTTTGAGCCATGGCTGTCACCATGCTTCCTGGCTTTGGTCCCCTCCCCCACCTTGAGGAGGCGAGTCTTCTCTTTTCTTTCTCTTTCTTTCACTAATTTACTTTTAAATAAACTTTTCCTTCTTAAAATAAATAAATAAAATAAAAGTCATTTACACTTCATTGGATACATTTAAGAGTAATACAACAGCTTTATTTTTTAATGTCATTTAAAAAAAAACATAGATAATCCAAAAACGTGAAACAGAGCACACTATTTTTCAAAATGTTCTTAAGAGATATGTGAGCAAAAAAAATGTAAAGATGCCTGCCCTTAATCACATTTTTGTGAAAACAGATTATCAGCATCCCACTTGACCTCCAAAAATACATAAAATCACAAGTGACTAAAAAGCTGATAGAAGTTAACAACCATTTCTTAAAACTCTGAGACAAGTCTGCCAGAACATTAAGTTGAAACTTTAAAACAAAATTTTAAAGAATATACTGATTTTTGTGTCCCATGAAGGAATAAGGGTTATTTCTAGAATTTCTGAAAGTTGCTACAAAGAGGACACAGAATGGAACCTCTGGTTATTCAAAGGCAAATAGTAGAAATTTGGTAAGCAATCGTAAGGAGCTAAAAATATTATTATGGCAGCAAAACATGTTACTAGGCTGCTGTGTCATCATCTACTTTTCCACTTTGACACAAGTGATGGGTGACCGTGACCAAACTCATTTAAGAGACTGCACTTACCAAAGACGGCAAGGCAGAAAAACAATCTATTAGGTCTCCAGGTCCATTGCTTGGGTGACTTTCCTCTAAAGGAACATTCTAAAGGCTTTTTTTCAGTACGGGGCTGGGCAGCTAAAAAGGCCCACTTTGGACCACACTGAGATGGAAGCATGTCTGCTAACAGCCACTGTCTCTGGACTGCTGGCCCCCTCTAGTGGTCTTGAGGTGGAACAGTCGATAGATCGGTACCTCCGCTGTTTTCAGATTATTCAAGGTACTTCTAAGGTCTTCCACAGAAAAAGAAGACAAAATCTGCACAGATGAGGAAATTTGCATTTGATGAGAGTGAGTGAGGACAAGGTACCGCTTCAAGAAAGCTGGGCGTCCCTCGCGGGCTTCCTGACAAAGAAGGGCTCCACAGGGTCAGGCAGTCCACTGCCCACACTCCTTGAGACCTGCCAGGACTGAGCTGCAGGACGGAGCATGGCCTCAACCACCAGCACAGAACTAGGTGGTTCTGTCCTGACTCAGCGTTTCCATAACTACCACAGTGGCATTTTTCACTTGGAAAACGGTAATAATGACACCGTCGGACTAGGAAAAAAGTCACCACACCCCCTCGCTTTTCATGTTTCTGTCTCTTAGGGAGGAGGAATAACAGCCGTGGGAAGTGCATACAGCAAAACTGCACAGACATAACCTGTGTCACTGCCAGCCAGGTCAACAAACAGAACCCTAAAACCGCCCCAGAAGCTCCTCATGAGCGCCCTTCAACTCCAGCCCCTTCCCCTCTCCCAAGGTAATCACTACCACCACTTTCACAGTAGAGAACTCATGGCCTTCTTTTGTAAAATAATTTCACCACCTAAGTGTTGCACCTAAAATGTCAGCAAATGAATATCTGAAATAGCTGTACAGGGTTTTTTGCCTCCATCTGGAGCTTATGTAAGTGGAACATCCTGGATATATCTTCCTGTCAGACTTCTTTCGGACAACATTAAGTTAATGAATCTTCTGCACCCAGGGACAAATGATTCCGGTGGGTCCAATCCAGTCCACCATCTGTTTATGTAAGTCAAGTCTGATGAGAACATCTGCAGAACACCAAGTCTAATTGGTATCTAGCACACAGTTCAATAAATATTTGCTGAACTCAAGTATATTTCCTCACGTCATGCCGCAAAGTTCTTTTTCATCCAATTTAACAAGTATCTTTTGACTATTCATCACATGCCAAACATTGTACACAGGGAAGAGAAATAAACTTCTCACAAAAATGTCTGCAGAATACAATCTAACAACAAAAAAGCCCCATTATAAAATGGCCAAAGGACTTAAGTAGACATTTTTCCAAAGATACATAAATGGTCAATAAGCACATGAAAAGCCACTTAACATCACTAATCGTTAGGAAAATGCAAATTGAAACCACAACGAGCCATCATCTCACACCCAAAAAAGAAAGAAAGAAGTGCTGGAAAGGATGTAGAGAAACGGGAATCTGCATACTCTTGGTGCAGCCACTATGGAAAACAGCACGGCAGTTCCTCAAAAGGCTAAAAATGGAAGCACCATGTGACCCAGCAATTCCACTTTGGGGCATAAACTAAAAAGAACTAAAAGCAGGTCAGAGATTCTCTTACACCCAAGATCACAGCAGCATTATTCAAACAGCAGAAAGGCAGAAACAGCCCAAGTGTCCTTCTACAAATGAATGGATAAGCAAATGTGGTTTATACCTACAGTGGAATAGCATTCAGCCCTAAAAAGAAAGCAAATTCTGCACATGCAACAATATAGAGGAACCCGGAGGACATTATGCTATGAGCATAAGTCACTCAGGACACAGTCTCAAGAGGACAAACACTGTATGATTCCACTGATATGAGGTACCTAGAGTAGTCAAATTAGCAGAAACAGAAAGTAGGGTGGCAGCTGGTGGGATCTGGGGGCCAGATGGAGGGTGACTGTTTAATGATATCCTAAAGACTGCGTTTTACAAGATGAGGAGAGTTCTGTGGAGGGGCGGTGATGATGGCAGCACCACCACATGAATGTGCTTAAGGCTACTGAACGAGCTTCAAGTCCGTTCACATGCCAAAAACGGCGAAGATGGCAAATTCTACGCTACGTGTGCCTTACCACAATTGTAAAAAAAAATGTCTGGATAATAGTCTGGACTTCTCCATGAATATCCAACAAAAGTAACTTGCCTTCCAAATAGCTATGTGAGAACAAACTTTTCTAAAATGTGAGAATCCTACTAAAGGCCCCAAGTGCAGGAGGAGAGGTTGCACCATCCATCCCTTTCCCTCTTCTAACAAGCACTGTCTTTCTGCTAATACAGGAAGTCCAGGGTTCAATTGTTTTTCTAGTGCCTACAGCTTGGGAATACAATTTCAATTTCTAGCACCGAGCCCCTTGCAACAAATCTTACCACACCTAAGCAATCTGAATCTTTTATGCCCATTAAAAGGTGAAACAGGCTGAGGTGAGTGGATTGCCTGTGCCCGCGGGTTCGAGACCCACCTGGGCAACTTGGCGAGACCTCATCTCCACAATAAATCAAAAAATCAGCCGGGCATGGTAGCGCGCGCCTGTCGTGCCGGCTACTCGGAAGGCTGAGGCAGAAGGATCGCCGGAGCCCAGCAAGTCGAGGCTGCGATGGCCGGGAGCAGCCACTGCACTCCAGTCTGGGCGACAGAGGGAGACTCCAACTCAAAACAAAAAAGGTGAGACAAAGGCAGGATCCACACGGAAAAAGGCTTTTCCATTAAGCCTTTACTGGCTTCTGTTTAGGGTCCCACTTGTTAATTCTTGTTTGTACGTCATTTCAACCGTACTCAAGCATGGGAGATCACTTTCCTACTCAAGGTGGAAACTGAATGAATGTATATGTCCACTCAAACTCTTAATGGAGAAAAAAGCGATTGTTTATGGCAAAAGGATCATTCAATAAAAGTATCATTAAAATGTCAACAAGTGAATATCTCAAATAGCTTCAGTCACCTGACTTTCAAAAATGCATTGCTTTAGATAAGGAGTTCACAAAAATATTTAAAGATAAAAAGCAACAGACGTCGGTAAGGACGCAGAGCAAGAGGAACTCTTAGAGACTGCGGCTGGGAATGTAAGTTAGTACAACCACTATGTACAGTGCAGAGATTCCTCGAAAAACTAAAGGCAGAACTGCCAGGTGACCCAGCAACCCCGCTACCGAGTATGTGCCCAAAGAGGAAGAAATCAGCATGCTGCAGAGATATCTGTTCTCCCGTGCTTGTGCAGCACCACGCGCAACAGCCAAGGCATGGCGTCAACCTAGGTGTCCATCAACAGATGAATGGATAAGCCAAGTGTGTCACATCGCGGATACAATGGAATAATATTTAGCCTTAAAAAGGCAGGAAACTCTGTCATTTCAACAACATGGATGACCTTGGAGCACATTACGTTGAGTGAAATAAGCAAGGCCAGAAAGAAAACGCCCCATGTTCTCACCCATGTGGGAGCCAAAAAAGTTGAGCCCACCGAAGTACAGAGTAGGATAACAGTTATTAGAGGCAGGGAAGGGTAGTCAAGAGGGGCATAACCAAAGGTTGGTTAACAGATACAAAAGTGCACCTAGATAGGAGGAATCAGTTCTAGTAGCACAATTATAATTAACAACAACTTATTGTGTACTTTCAAATAGCTAGAAGAGCAGATACCAAATATTCCCAACAAAAAGAATGATAAACATCTGAAGTGATAAATATGCTAATTACTCTGATGTGATCACTACAAACTGTATACATGGGTCAAAGTATCACACTGTATTCCATAAATTACAGTGATTATGTATCAATTAAAAATAATAATAAAAGCAAGAAAAGAGTTGATAATATATCTGCACTGAGAGATTCTGTCATCTATGACTCTGAGGGTAACAGCTCTAACATGTCCCTACCTGCTGTTTCCTGCCCGTGGCAATTGTTCAGTTCAGCCAGAAGCTGGTTAAAACCATCCTGATGAGCAATCCAGTTGTCCTGCAAATAGGAAAAAAATAAATAAAAGCAAACCTGTAGTTTACCTACACTGATTGAGATAAGATATACTTCAGAATCAAGAAAATATGGTAGTTAATACTAAATTTTAAGTGTTTCATCAAAATACTATTTAAACAATTTAAATGGATTCTAAAAATAATATAAACTTAACATGCTCTAATCAGTATCAGATCGGCATTAAAAAGGGACTTCTTGAAAGCTTAATCCCTGATTTCAGCCGTGGATGACTTCTCAACAGTCAACCTACCAGTCGAACGATCAACAGGCAAACTGTAAGCCAAATATTTAAATGAAGCAAAATAAAATTACTATTTTTTTCTCACTAAGGGTATCACGTAGTTAAAAGGACAGGAGCACTGAGGAAACTAGAAGTTCTTTTCTTTGCTCAGTAGAGCTTACGCTATTTTGCCCAATTCTAATTACTTTGGAGGAGGGGCAAAGGAAAGCCCTCAAGTCCTCTGAATCACCGAGACTCCACTTGTAAGGTGATTAACTAATAAATGCACTATAGCAAAAAGAATCTGGCTTTATAAGAAAATAAAGATCTCCAAAACAATATAAACCAGTGGAAAGCAGGGTTTCAATGTAGGAATTAGCCTCACATTCTTAGCCTACTCTTTTAAAGAAGACTTATTACAGTAAAGACATATTGAATAGGTTTACTGGGCAATGCTTCTCCTAAGAAAACAAGTATATCTGTATTATCTATCCCTCAACTGCATTTGAATTCAACCTCACATAAGCTCTTTCCTTAGAGGCTGAAAATTTTAACTGCTCCAATTCATTACTCAGAGATACTGGACTAATCAAAGTAATTCAGTTTACCTGAAGTAATTCTCCAGATTTTCTACCAGATTCTGTTGGTTGTAAAAGTTTAGGAACACAACTTTCAGCTTAGACACTTTCTAAAGGAAACAATGATACTGAAAATGAAAAGCAAGGCAGGTCACTAATTTTAATTACATTGTCACATTTCCCAAGAGCCAGTGTTCAAGAGAAAGTGTGAGTAAACCCACCTGCTGTAAGCATTTCCAAAGTTAAATGCCACCAACTGCTCATCATATAAACTACTATTAGAACACAAGTAAAGATAAAAATTCCTTTCTGCCCTGAAATGAGTATCTCTCCACATAAAAAAGTTGTTTGCAAAGTTTAGCTATAAAACTAGTTTGGCTCTCTTAGGCGGACCCAAGTAAAGGATCCCATGAGGACAACAGGCAAGGTGAGGGCACGTTCCCACTGAAACCCAGCTTAGCTAGGGGCTCTTTATTGATCTACAACATGCACGAAACACACATGAACAGATAAAAACTGATCAACCAACTTGGCCAGATTAAAGTGCTTCAATTTACAAACTGAAGTCAATTATGCAAGGAAAATGTCCAGCAGGCACACTACTGCTCACTTCATTACTGATTGCAGCTCCAAGTCCCAGGTGGTCGTTTTTAACTTGAACTTTAATATGATCCGTGGCTCCTTGTTCCTGAGCCCCTAAGCCCTGTGGAGATTAGACACCAAGAGTTAGCATTTTTACCAGGTAGAAGGAAAGAGAGATTGACTTTCTTCCTTCAACCGTTCAGTTAATTACTACACATCCAGTAGCAGGCACTATCCTTGCCTCAAAGAAGACACAGACTAACGGATTCTTACAAACTAATGTATCTATAATACCAAGGACGCACTTAAAATACAAATGCAAATTCTTCAACCTGAGATCAGATATAAGCCCCACATAAACACTAAGCATATGCCTCTTGCTGATACTCAGAAGTAAAACACTGCTACAAAACTAATGGAAGCCCATCATGCAAGTTATAAATCTACGGCTCTCTCCACTCAGTACTTTTACAAAACAACACCAAGGAAGAAGGGAGTGGGGACTCCAAATACCCCATACCTGGGCAACAGGATAGACCGCAACTCAAAAAAAAGAGAGATATCAATAGAGGGCTTACTGGAGTCGAAAATAAATGGAATGTGAGGAAAGGAAAAAATATGTGTAGTCTAGTTATAAAGGGGAATAAAATATAAAAACTCGAGCCGGGCTCGGGGGCTCAGCCTGTAATCCAGCGCTTTTGGGAGGCTGAGGTGAGTGGATTGCCTGAGCCCGCGGGTTCGAGACCCACCTGGGCAGCGAGACCTCATCTCTACAATAAAACAAAAAATCAGCCGGGCGTGGTAGTGCGCGCCTGTAATTCCGGCTACTTGGAAGGCTGAGGTGGAAGGATCGCCGGATCCCAGCAGGTCGAGGCTGCGGTGGCCGGGAGCAGCCACTGCACTCCAGTCTGGGCGACAGAGTGAGACTCCAACTCAAAAAAATAAAAAAATAAAGCCGGGCTCGGTGGCTCAGCCTGTAATCCCGCGCCTTTGGGAGGCTGAGGTGAGTGGATTGCCTGAGCCCGCAGGTTCGAGACCCGCCTGGGCAGCGAGACCTCATCTCTACAATAAAT